TTTCTTACTTGGCATTAACTGAAGGAGTATAAAAGATATGCTTTAAGACTATAGAATTGGAATTGGTTAAGAACCAGACAGAAAGAAAAACTTCACAAAACCAAGAAAGTGAAATTAAAGTGAAGAAGTTTGCTTAACCAAGAAGAGGGAGGCTAGTGCACAATATAAACCTAGGAAGGACATGGACACCAGTTGTTTAGTGGAAAAACTTTTGAATAGGCAACAAAAAATCCCAGTGACGAAAATCCATTTTGACTGTCTGGCTAGCTGAATCCTCTAGCATGTGAAGACAAGGTGAAGTCAGTTCTTCAGTTGAAAGGTGAAGATGCCCACTCCAAACGTAATTCAAGAAGAATTCATAAAGCTTTGGTAAATAGCCAGAGGAATCCTATTCACAGAGAAGGAAGATGTTTTTAGCCTTTAGTCTGATTTCAGCTCTTTAGCCTAGCTGGGGAGGTCAACTAAAAAAATTCAATATTTCCTTGGAGAAAATAAACTCTTAGTTTCTTCAAGCAAAGCTCAGCTACCTTTGACAAGAAGGGTTAGAAGTTGTTTCCAAAGAATTCATTGATTCGGCAGAATCAGTACAAAGCTAGCAATTATTGTCTGGATTTGCAGTATTCCGGAGAATCATAGATTATCAGTTAATTTCATTTTATTGCAATTCCATTTTAATTTTAGTCAGATAATACAATAGAGGGTGAAATTGACTTTGAAACCCTTTGTAAACTATAAAAAGCTATGCTAATGCTAGCAGTTATTGCAATTATGGTTACTGCTTTTAGTAGGTGAACTTAGGGAAGGAGAAACAAACCTCTTTAAGATGGAATTGCCTGGCTTATCTCAGCCTCATTAAGGAAAAACATATGAGTGGATTAAAACAGTCATTTAGGGTGATATATATATATTTAAAAAACTGGTACATTGCTGGACATTGGGTGACATTTAATGCAGGTGGGTCTTGATCTGGCATCTAGAAGGGTTCTGGAATCTGGAGAAGGCTGTGTGTAGATTAAGTAAGAGTCCAAAGATGAAAGATAATTTTGAAAGGCATTGGGGGTCAGAGGAGCCCAGCTAAAGGAGCTAAGTTCTCCTTGTCTCAGGACCCCTTGCTTTTTATTAACACAAATTGTCCTAAGGCAAGGTGGGGATATACACTTCAAAGGGTAAGGTTTTGTACAGAAGCCTTGTCAGATTGGGGAATAGCCTATGGCTGTTCAGGTGTTTGGCCAACAGGAGGCAATAACATGTAGATTAAGATACCCTGAGCTGTCTGGCAGCAAAAAATAATTCTTTTCAGGTTTGGGGGAAATGCCTTTAGCCATTCCAACAGGCAATAACATATGTGACTCAGCCCATGTTGAGTCCCCAACTCTAGCAATTACGACATGCTGGAACTGACTTCCGGCAATACATCTACACAATGGAATACTATGCCACTATTAAAAAAAAGGAACTTCTACCATTTGCAACAGCATGGATGGAACTGGAGAGCATTATGCTAAGCAAAATAAGCCAGTCATAAAGATTAATATCACATTATCTCACTCATATGTGAATTATAATGATCAATATAATTTGATGAATAAGAATAGATCAATCTAGAGACAAATGGTAGGAGAGGGGGGCAGTTAGAGAGCAACCAAAGGACTCATATGCATGCATATTAGCATAACCAATGGATATAGACACTGGGGTGGTGGGGGCTTGCCTGGGCTGGGAAGGGATGGGGGAGGGGGGTCAACTGTGGAAAAAGGAGACATATGTAAAACTTTAGACAATAAAAATAAATAATAATAATAATAAAAACATGGTTGGCTCCTGGATCAGAGGAGACTGATCCTGGGGTAACCCTGCAGTGGTTCCTGCAGAGCCTGGGGATTGGAAGCTGTTACAACACCATGGGTGACAGCCAGGCTGCTGGATCCATTTCAAAGTGACTCAGTGGGGTGGAGAATTATTAATATATTTATCACCACAGGTGTTAGTTATATGTCACTACTGAGAAACTGCTGTGGAGTGTTACTTTTATTCTTTTATGTGTTTAACCATTATGTTACTTATTTTTTAAAATTTTATTTCTACTCACACAGTTGTTTTGTTCAAAGTGAAATGTGTTTTATGGATAAAATAGCCAGGTTTAGGGAGCTTTAGGAATAAAGAGGGTCCATGGGGGAGGAATGCATAGGTGAAGGCGTGGGGCCACCAGAAAGCATACATTCACAGAGACAGAAAGAAGGTGCCACAGGATAAGGGAAGAGGAGGGCATATATTTTCACAGAAGATAAGAAAAAGCCAGAGTATAGGGAAAAAGGAAACATACTTTTAGAGGCTAGAGAAATGCCAACAAATGGCGGAAAGAGGAAAGAGGAAAGAAGATAGAGAAATGTGGCAAGTTAAGGGGGGGGGGAGAAAAAGGAGGGCTCCACGCGGGGTTTGTGCTTTGAAACTGATATTCTGCAAAAAGAGTGACCAATTAGAAGGGAACACGAAGAAACGAAGAACGACAGCATTTATAAACCTTAGAAAAAGGGGCTTTGTGGGTTACCCACTTGGGAGCCCTCTCACTACGTGGGAGTCTGAATTTGCTTCCAATAAATTCCCACCCTTTTCATCTACCACCTTTTGTCCGTGGCTTCATTCTTCAAATCCATCTGGACAAGGACCCGGGAAAGAAATCACCCTTGCCTCCTGCTCAGGAAAACAACTCAAATCAATAAGTAGATGCTTTTGTTTCTGAGACTCCTCTAAATTTACATAGTTTGCAAAGTAGGTAGTAAAAGAATCTAATTGGAAAATGGGTGAAAGACTTAGAGACATTTTGCTAACGAGAACACACAAATGGAACTAAGCAGGTGAGGAAGATGTTTAACATAATTAGCCATTATGGAAATGCAAATTAAAACCTTAATAAGCCTGACTGGTGTGGCTCAGTGATTGAGCATCGACCCATGAACCAAAAGGTTGTTAGTTCGATTCCCATGCTTGGGTTGGGTTTGATCCCCAGTGTGGGGCATGCAGGAGGCGCCAATTGATGTTTCTATCTCATCCCTCTTCCTTCCTCTCTCTCTAAAATCAATATAAATATATTTAAAATAAAACAACCTTAATGAGATATCACCATACACCTATCGGAATGGCTAAAATGAAAAGTAGTGACAACTCTAAAATGCTGGAGCAGATATAGAGGAACTGGATCATCCATAGCTGTGGGGATATAAAATAATATAACTCTGGGAAATAAGTTTGGCAGTTCCTTTAAAAACTAAACATACCACTACCATATGACCTAGCAATTGCACTCTTGAATATTTCTCCCAAAGAACTTATGTCCATACATAAATCTGTACATGAATACCTAACAGCACTAATTGAGGAAAACATTTTTAAAACTTTAAAAATTGTCACAAAATACACATATCAAAATTTATCATCTGTGATAGTGTTCAGATGACTAAAATGTATTTCTCATGTATATTTGGTCTTCATCCAGAATTCCTGGCTCACAGCTCCAGGAACTCTTGAAATTTCTTAAGTATGGAATGTGAAAAAAAGGGGTCTGGTTATGTTAATGAGGCTACTTTGGAAAGCTCCTAAGGACAGGGGTGGTTTGAAGGAGAACCAATCCTGTCGTTAGAAGGTTGGAACTTGCAATTCTATGTCCTCACCCTCACTCTATGGAGGGGAAAGGGGTTAGAGGATTGAATTAATTGCCAATGGCCAATCATTTAATCAACCTTGGCTGTGTAATGAAACTTCCATAACCCTGCCCCCCCCCCCCCCCCAATGGATTGGTAGAGAATTTCCAGATTCATGAACACGTAAAGAGGTATGGAGACCGGTGCGCTTGCAGAGAGCTGGGAGGCTCTGCGTCCCTTCCTCTAACCTTGCCCTATGCTTCTCTTCCATCGGGCTGCTCTTGAGTTACATCCTTGTGCAGTAAACCAGTAAGTAACATTTCTCAGAGTTCCGTGAGCCATTCTAGCAAATTAATCAAACCTAAGAAGGCAGTTAGTAGGCTTGATTTATAGCTAGTAGTCTGGGCTTGTGGCTGGCATCTGAAGAGAGTGTGTGTGTATGTGTTGTACCTCCTCCAAGCAGAATCACAGAATATTTTTTCTTTTTGTAATTGGCTTATTTCGTTTAACTTATGTCTTCAAGGTTCACCCATGTTGTAGTATGCATCAGAGTTTCTACTCTTCAAAAAATATTTATTGATTGATTTTAGAGAGGAAGAGAGAGATAGAAACATAAATGACGAAAGAGAGTCATTGATTGTCTGCCTCCTGCACACCCACCACTGGGGATGGAGCCCGCAACCCGGGCATGTGCCCTGACTGAGAATCGAACTGTGATCTGCTAGTTCATAGAATGATGCTCAATCACTGAGCCATGCTATACTCTTTTTAAGACTAAATATATTCCATTGTATTGTATGTATATACCACACTTTGTTTATTCATTCATCTGTTAATGCATATTTTGGATTGTTTCCTCCTTTTTGCTAATGTAAAGTAATTCTTCTTTGAATAGGAACATCCAACTATCTCTTCGAGACCCAAAGGTAGAATTGCTAGATCATCTGGTGATTTTATTTTTAATTTTTTGAGGAGTTACCATTCTGTTTTCCACAGCAGGTTAACCATTTTACATGACCACCAATAGCGTACTGGGTTCCATTCTCCACATCTTTGCCTACACTTATTTTTTGGGCTTTTTTTCCTTATACTTAGCTACCCTTATGGTTTTAATTTTAATTTCCCTAGTGATTAATGATGTGGAGCATCTTTCCATGTACTTGTTGGCCATTTGTATATAATCTTTGAGGAAATGACTAGTCAAATCCTTTGCCTCTTTTTTTTTTTTTTTTTTAAAACACTACCATACTTGAATATTAAAACAAAAACAATAGCAAGTAGTGAGCATATTATGGTTACAGTCCTTCACTCATTCACTACTGTATATAAAATGCCAGCAGTGAGTGTTATTCACTGGCCCCATTAAGAGGTCTGACACTGAACACCACCCCTAGGTTGATGTTCATCATCCTCATATGCTTCTCCATTATAATGGCGTCGTCTTTCTTGATTTGGATCAAAGCCTACCAGTTCTACCTGGTCCATTTCATCAGTCTCTTCTACTTCCTTCCTTTCAGGTAGGAGTTTTTCCAGCAAAGAGAGTTTATCAGGAGAGAGAAAGCCATTCTCAGGAAAGTTTACCTTAAATTCGATGATTAGGTGACACTTTTCATAAGGTCTACGATAAATTGGCATGCCTTCACTTAATACACACTTAATATCTCCATGCTTGACAATTTGACCTGGATGAGAGGTGATGACTATAGTTCGGTTGTCTAGAGTAAGTATTGGCTTTTGGAAGCCACACAATGCTTCAACCAGCTGTATGTCCATACACATGAAAAGATCTTCTCCTTGTCGAGTGAAAACAGTATGGTCCTTCTGATCTAAAACAATGATAATATCTCCTGGCTCTAGTCCTGGTTCCTGGTCTCCTTCACCATGGAATGTTATCTTCTGGCCATCTTTCATGCCTTTATCAATATGAACTTCTAGAATCTTCTTCTCTCGAACTATCTTCCTTCCGTTGCAGCTTTTACATCTATCTTTAGGACTGATCCTTTCCCCATGGCCCTGGCACTCCATGCACACAGACTGAATTTGCTGAACCATTCCAGGGCCTATCTGATGAATTCTTATTTGCATTCCAGTCCTTTGCAATTGGGACAGCATTCTACTGCTCCTTTCTTACCACCTCGGCCTTCACATTTGTCACAAATCACATTCTTTTGTAGAGCTAGTTTTCTCGTTGCACCATTATATAAGTCTTCTAAAGTTACGGAGAGCTGATGTACAACATTTTTACCTCTCCTTTCTCTCTGCATCCTTCCTCCTCCTCCAAAAAACATATCAAAGATGTCCATGGGGGAACCAAAACCACCACCTGCTCCATCTTCCTTAATTGCTTGTTCTCCTCCTTTGTCATACAATTCCCTATTCTTTGCATCAGAGAGCACTTCGTAAGCTTGAGAAATCTGTTTAAACTTCTCTCCTTCATTTGGATTCTTATCAGGGTGGTATTTCAAGGCCAGCTTCCTATAAGCCTTTTTCAGTTCTTCCTGGGTAGCATTGGGCTTGACCCCCAAAACATCATAGTAAGTAGTTTCTTTAACTATTTTTGAGGGGGCCGAGGCAGGCGTGGAGGAGCAGGAAAGGGCGCGTTGCTGCGCGCAGCTCAGGCAGCTGCCGCTGCACCTCCACCTCTCCCCGAGCGTTCTGGAAACTTCCCCCTTTGCCTCTTTTTTAAATCTAGTTTTTTGTTGAGTTGTAGGAATTAAAAAAAAAAAAAATATATATATATATATATATATGCTGAATATTAACCCCTTATCACATGTATAATTTGTTAATAGTTTCTCCCATTTTGCAGATTGCCTTTTTATTCTGTTGATTGTATTCCTTGATGCACAGAAGCTTTTAGTTTTGATGTAGCACAACTTACCTACTGCCACTTTGGTTGCCTGTGCTTTTAGTGTCAGATGCAAGAAATCATTGCCAAATCCAATGTTATGAAGCTTTTCCCCTGTGATTTCTTCTATGAGTTTTATAGTTTTGGCCCTTATGTTTAGGTCTTTGGTTTATTTTTAATTTTTGTACATGGGGTAAGTCTATTTATTATTTATTATTAATTCTCACTCAAGGATATGTTTATAAATTGATTTTAGTGAGAGAAGAAGGAACAGAGAAACATTGATGTGAGAGAGAAACACCAATTGGTTGCCTCCTATGTGTGCCAGGGATTGAACCTACAACCTATGTATGTGCCCTGACCAGGAATCAAACCTGTAACTGGTGTACTGGATGATGCTCCAACCACTTGAACCACCTGGCCAGGGCTGTAGTTCTACTTTCAATAAAGCAAGATGATATCAATAAAAGAGCATTTATGTCAATAAAGCATTATTATTTATTTTTCATGAGTAGACTCAAAGAAAGCAGTAAGACATATGTTGACCCCAATATGATAAGAAATGCATTACATTTTCCAACAATAAAAGTGAAAAATTCGCCGGCTCAGTGGATAGAGCATCGGCTTGTGGACTGAAAGGTCCCGGGTTCGATTCCTGTCAGGGGCATGTACCTTGGTTGTGGGCACATCCCCAGTGGGGAGTGTGCAAGAGGCAGCTGGTTGATGATTCTCTCACATCAATGTTTCTAACTCTCTATCCCTCTCTCTTCCTCTCTGAAAAATCAATAAAATATATTAAAAAAAGTGAAAAATCCCAACATAAAACAATTTAATTCAAACAAAGTTATTTTTTGGGTTGAGTTGAGGGTCCTAGCTCAAAGAAACAACTAAACTGCCAACTCAGAAAGCTTGATTTCAGATGAAGAAATGGTGACTGACAAAGCTATGACAGTCACTATGCATGGAAATCAATCAGGGATAATAATTCCATCACAGATTTTGTTTATGTTTCATATTTTTTTAAACTATATTTTATTGATTTTTACACAGAGAGGAATTGAGAGGGATAGAGAGTTAGAAACATCGATGAGAGAGATACATCGACCAGCTGCCTCTTGCACACCCCCCACTGGGGATGTCCCTGCAACCAAGGTACGTGCCCTTGACCGGAATCGAACCCGTGACCCTTCAGTCCACAGGCCGACACTCTATCCATTGAACCAAACTGGTTTCGGTGTTTTTTATTTTTTTATTTAATAGATTAAATCACATAAATTGCTGATATATATATATATATATATATATATATTAAAAAATGTACAAAATAACAAGTTCAAATGAATCAATTAATTCTTTTGTATGTGGATATCAGTTTTCTCAACACCGTTTGCTGAATTTCTCTTTATTTCTTAAACCGCATTGTTTGCATATTTAACCTATATGACATTAAAACATCTTTATATGCATCAAATCTATGAACATATAATAATCATGGTGATGTAGCTTTAAGACTAATGAGTTCCTTTTGAGGAGAAAAGGTGTGCACCAGCCTGTGAGGCAAAAATACTGAACAGGAAATAGAATCAGAAAGTTAAAGGTCAATCTTTATGTAAATGTAGCTTAGAAAATATTACACAGCAGCCTCCCTCTGTAGAATATACCATATAGCATCTCTATACATTAGAGGTACTATATATGTAATCCTACAAAGATTAATCTACCAGCCAAATAAAGTCAAGAAAAAGCACATTTTAAGTTCAGGACCCCTGTGATTTTGGAACCCATTGAAACATGTCAGATTCATGTTGGTATAATTTGGTTCTGATTGTAATCCAAGGTATTTCATTCCCATTGAGTCATTATGACCTGTTAATCAAAAGGATATCTACTTATAGCTTCTTTTTAAAATTGTAGTTATGTTCTAGGATTATCTCTAGGATTAAAATTCATTCTGTTTTTAGTTTCATTTGTTTTCTACAACATCAACTCTGTACCGTAATTGATGTCTTTAACAGAAATAATTAAATTATATTTGGAATATCATTCAATAAAATCAAATACCCATGTAAAATTTGGGGGATCACTTATTTTGAAATTTTATAATAAAAATTCTGATACTCAAAAGATTAAACTTCATTTCTTTAGACATTTTATCATTTCTGAAACTAGCTGGATAACATGTTTTAGAATGGATCAAAGCATATAGAAAAAGATACCATGACTCAGAAAGCAGGTGAATAAAAATCTGAGTCTCTTTAGCAGACTAGAAAGTTACTGGCTGGTATAATATGGTAACACTTCTGCAGCCACAATAAAGTTCTGGTCTCATTCTTTAAAATCATCTAACACAGACAGATAGCCAATAGCACAGACAAATTTCAATCAAGCAAGAAGAGCTTAAGTGTAGAAAGTACATGATCAACCCAGTTTCCTTCTTCCTGCACCACAGGGCTACATGCCATCTGGTGGTTATTAGGCAAGAGAGCTGCCATCTGTCACTTCTGCTAATACATGGGAGAGGGGGAGCTCTCTGCATCCTGTAAGCCTAGGAGATGTCCTTATGGCTGTTTACATGTCCCCATCCATCTCACAGGGCTGCCAGGAAAACCTATAAGACACTGAATGGGAAAGAAATCATGTGCACAAATAAAAGTATTAAATACTTATCAGCAGGCTGTGTAGAGTAAGTTGATAAAATAAGGCAGTATTTGTACAATTTTTTGCACACGTTGGCACAAAACTTCTATTTCCAACCAAGATGGAGTAACAAGGATTGGATTTATGTTAGGGCACAGACAACTAAAAAGCTGGGAAAAAAATAGATGAAACAATTTTCAAGACATTGATTATCAGAAAACAAAACAAAACAAAATGATCTTAAAGAGACAGGAAACAAATGTGGTAATACCTAATATTATCCTATCTTTTTTTTTAAGTATTCAAGTTAATCTCATCATATTCCACTTTAGATTCTGTACTAGTTTCCTATCACTACCATAACAAATCACAACAAGTTTAGAGGCCTACAGCAACACAAACTTATGTTGCAGTTTTGGAGGTCAGAAATTCAAGGTGTCAGCAGTCAGAGCTGCGCTCCTCTTAGAGGCTCTATGAGATTTGTGTGTGTGTGTGTGTGTGTGTGTGTGTGTGTGTGTGTGTGTGTGTGTGTATATGTGTGTGTGTGTGTGTGTTTGACTTTTCCAGCTTCTACAGGCTTCTGCATTCTTTGGCTCATGACCCATTCTTCTCCTCATTTTGATCTCTTCCATCATCACCTCTCCTCACATTCTAACTCCCCTGCCTCCCTCTTATAAGGATCCTTCTGATTACATTGGGCCCAGCTGGAGAAGCCAGGATAACCTCCCTATCTCAAGGTTCTTATATAATCACAACTGCAAAGTCCCTTTTGCCATGTAAAGTAATGTATTTGTAGGTTTTAGGAATTAGAACATAAACATCTTTGGGGCTCCATTATTATGTCTCCTAAAGATTTTATAGGAGATACTTAGTTCTCAAAAGGTAAAAGCTGAATGAATTTATAGATCTAAAGAGTGTGCAATTAAATGGTATCTTCCTTATTATTTAAAAAAGTTGATTTTCTGCGATCCATTACATCATCACCCTTTCATCAGTCAGTGTCATTAACTGTGGCTCAAAATAATCTGTTAACAGTGTCTCCATTGGTGAGACCCTATGACACCAATCACTGCCATGGCATGTGAAGTATTTAAAGAGTTCCTATTGCCTTCTTCCCTTTCACCATCAGATTGTTGAAAAATAGAATCAACATTGGCCATCTCAGTTTCTTTAGTTCCTATTCACACTTCCACCAGGAAAACTGGGCACTTCTCTGAGCTGTGGTTTCCTCACCTGATCCAGGTCTCTCATTATTGAGATGTTCCTCTCCAGCTTTAAACTCTGTGACTCCAGGCTACTTCTTATTTTCAGTCATATAGCATCAGGAAGTGGCCTGGTTCCCTTCATGTCTCTAAGTCTCATCTATCTATCTATCTATCTATCTATCTATCTATCTATCTATCTATCTATCTATCATCTATCTATCTATCATCTGTCTATATAAAAAGCTAGTGTCCATGACAACCAGGAGGACCAAATGACCGGTCATCATGAGGTGCATTGAGCATCTCTCAGTCCCTCTCCCTTGGCCCACAGGCTCCAAACTGCAGCAAGGCGGGGGGGGGAGGGGCAGATGGGTGGGGCAGCGAGCGCATCAAGCAGGGGTGAGCAGTGATGGGTGAGTGGG